TGACCCTAAAATGCCAAAAAAATGAAGAACGATCAAGGTGAAACAATGAATATTGTTCATTAGGTCGTTTTTATGGGCTTGTAAAATTATAGGAGATTCGGGGTCGGTCGCCTAAATTCATGCAGATGGCGTGGACTATAGCAAACAAAAATCTGGAAATCATCCTAAAATCTTGTTTTATGGACCTAAAAAGCCAAAAGAACGAGGAACGGTTATGGCAAAGCAATGAATATTATTTATTAGGTTACGTTTTTACTGGCCCGCAAAATTTTAGGAGATTCAGGACCGGTCACCAGAATTCATGCAGATGATGTGGACTATAGCATACAAAAATCTAGATTCTTCTTTTAAGGCCCTAAATGCCAAAAACCAAGGAACGATCACCGCGAATCAATGACTATTGTTCATTAGGTTATGTTTTTGGGTTTGCAAAATTTTAGGACATTCGGGATCGGTCAACCGGATTCATGCAGTTGGCATGGACTATGGTACACGAAAATATGGGGATCGTCCTGAATTCCTGTTTTATGGCCCTAAAATGCCAAAGAGCGAGGAATGCTCATGGCAAAGCAATGAATATTGTTCATTAGGTCTTTTTTTTATCCCGCAAAATTTTAGGAAATTCGAGGTCGGTCGACCGAATTCATGCACATGGCATGAACAATAGCACACGAAAATATGAGAATCGTCTTGGATTCCTATTTTATGGCTCTAAAACGCCAAAAATGAGGAACGGTCATGGCAAAGCAATGAATATTATTTATTAAGTTATTTTTTATGGGCCCACAAAAGTTTGGGAGATTCGGAAACGGTCGCCCGAATTCATGCACGTGGTGCAGGGTGTAGTATGAGTACAACCAACTCACCAAGTAACAATAATAAATAAGGAACTGAAGATAGTGATGAGCTACACAATTATAGTACACTTTCAGTAATTCTAGCAAAGAATAGAGATGCTTTCAAATCCAACAGTTTAAGTCAAATAAATTTTATATAGTTCAAGTTCATGTGATCCAGATATAAAATCTTTCACAGAATTTCACAACAATAACAGACAGCAACTAAGTGCAACAACAAATGAAAAGCAAGTACAGCCTCTCAGGGCAACACTCACTCAACTCGTCACAACAGCTCAACCACTCGGCTCTTAGCTCTCAACACTCACACTCAATGGGTACCCGCGCTCACTGGGGGTGTACAGACTCCGGAGGGGCTCTTACAGCCCAAGCTCTATAATCCGCACGTACAACTCACGTGCTGCACGGATAACTCACGTGCTATAGTATCAATATCTGGATCCGCACGGATAACTCACTTGCTGCACGGGCAACTCACGTGCTATAGTATAATATCTAGATCCGCACGGACAACTCATATACTGCACGGACAACTCACGTGCTATAGTATAATATCTAGATCCGCACGGACAACTCACGTGTTGCACGGACAACTCACGTGCTATAATATGATATCTGGATCCACACGGACAACTCACGTGCTATAGTATAATATCTCACAATCAGGCCCTCGGCCTCACTCAGTCATAAATCTCTCCAGTCTTTCGGGGTCTCAGTAATCATGAAATCAACCCAAACAACAATGATATGATATATCAACAATAAAAACAGAGACTGGGTTAAAATAAACAAGTAAATTGTGACTAGGTACAAAACAACAATTAAGCAGATAGTTCAACATGTACACGACCTCTATGGGTCCCAACAGTACCAACATATAGCCTAAACATGGTTTCTAACATGATTTACAGTTAAATCTCTACAACACATAGAGAGCATATAGCTAACAACAAGTTATTAAACTTTACAGTTTCCACGGGACGAACCAAGTCACAATCCCCCCGGTGCATGCCCACACGCCCGTCACCTAGCATTTGCGTCACCTCCAAAATAATCACATGACACAAAAATCCGAGGTTTCATACCCTCAGGACCAGATTTATAACTATTACTTACCTCAAACCGTGAAATTCTTACTCCGATAAACCTTTGCCTCGTGAATTGGCCTCCAAATGCCTCGAATCTAGCCACAAATAATTCGATTCAGTCAATAAAATTTATTGAAATTAATTCCATAAGAAAATGCTAATTTTCCATAAACTCCGAAATTTAGCTCAAAAATTGCCCGTAGGGCCCACGTCTCGGAACCGGACAAAATTTACAAAATCCGAATACCCATTCCAATACGAGTTCAACCATACTAATTTTATCAAATTCCGATAATAACTTGACCTCCAAATCTTAAATTTTCTTTTTTGGAAGATTTTACAAAAATCTTGATTTCTTCCATTTAAATCCGAAATAAATGATGAATATAATCATATAATCATGAGGTATAATCACTTTCGGATATAGAACACTTACCCTTATCCATATGGTGAAAATCGCCTCAAACATCGCTTAAATCCGAGTTCCATAGCTCCAAATATGTTAAAAATGGTTGAAACCTCAAAATATAGCTATTGCCCAAGTATTTACTCTTCGTGACCGCAAAAAATGCTTATCGATCGCGAATCACAAAATTTTTCAGCCCCAAAATTGCTCTTCGCGATCGCAGAAAACCAATCGCGATCGCGAAGAACAAAATCCCTAACTCTTCTAGATAGCCTCTAGTATAATGGTCATAACATTTTGTACAAAACTCCAAATTACAAATAGTTTAATTTTCTGAAAACTAGACATCAAGTTCTATAATTTTTATTTGTTGCTCATCTCCCAATTCCTTATAAATTACTAGATATAAGCTAACAAAGTCAGCCCTGTGCAATAGAAATTTCTAAACTTTTCCCAGACAGCCTATAGTTTATCTACCATAACTTTTGGTACACAACTCCAAATGACAAATAGTTAACATTTCTGAAAACTAGACATCAAGAACTACAATTTTTATTTTTGGATTATCTCCGAATTCCTTATAGATTACGAGATGTAAGCTTCCAAAGTCGGGTCAGTACAACAGATATTTTGTTCTATGCGATCACTAAAGAGCTTCCGCGATCGCGATTCACAAGGCCCCAAACTGTTGTTTGCTCTTCGCGAACGCGACGAAATGTTCGCGATCGCGATGCAGACCTCTGTAGGCAGAAACTAGCAATTAAAAATGGCCTAGAAATGGTCTGCAACCACCCAAAAACTCACCCGAGCCCAAGCCCCTCAGGACCTCAACCAAATATACCAACAAGTTCTAAAATATCATACGAACTTAGTCGAAGCCTCAAATCACATCAAACAACACAAAAACCATGAATCGCACCTCAATTCAAGTCTAATGAACTTTGAACTTTCTAATTCTATATCTTGTGCCGAAATACATCAAATCAATTCGGAATGAGTTCAAATTTTGCACACAAGTCATAAATGACATAACGAAGCTATTCAAATTTCCAGAATCGGATTCCGACCTCGATATCAAAAAATTAACCCTCCCCCCCCTCCCCCCGGTCAAACTTCCCAAAATTTAACTTTCAGCATTTCAAGCTTAATTCTACTACGGACCTTCAAATAATTTTTCAGACACGCTCGTAAGTCCAAAATTACCATACGGAGCTATTTGAATCATCAGAATTAAATTTCGAGGCCGTTTACACATAAGTCAATATCCGATCAACTATTTCAACTTAAGCTTCCAACATGAAAATTCATTCTTCCAAGCTAACTCTTAAATACCTTGAAACTAAAATCGATAATTCACACAAGTCATAATACATCGTAGGAAGTTATTCAAGATTTCAAATAGTTGAAAGGGGCGTAAATGCTCAAAACGACCGGTCGGGTCGTTACACTTGCCAGCCTAAATACTAAAAACTTGTAAAGGCACTGATAAAACGAATAATTGTACTCTCATCGTTAGGGGTGTTCATGGTTCGGTTTGAGTTGGTTTTTCCCTAAAATGAAACCAAACCAAGTAAGTCGATTTTTCAAAATATTGGAACCAAACCAATTAAGAAGCTTTTTTATCGATTCAGTTTGATTTGGTTTTTGTTGGTTTTTCGGTTTTTTCAGTTATTCATCGGTTTTTTCTTATATATGAGACATACACTACCAAACACATATTCAAACGACTATATTTTCAATGTAACACTATCAAATCAATTGCTCTTTGAGAAATCTATCATTTACCAAGATATATTGATGATAATTGAATCAAATAGTGATGAATGATTAAAATACTCAATTAAAATTTATTATTTATAACATGAAATAAATTCTTGTACTTTGCAAAAGAAAACTACCAATCAAACTAGAATGTAAAGGCAAAAAAATAGATTATTATAATAGCAAAGAACTAGACTAAAAATATAAATGACTAATATGTACCATAAAATTTTAGAAATATTATATAAAACTATACATATATATAGGTGTAATAATAAATTTAAATAGCTACTTTTATAGTCGGTTTGGTTCGGGGGGTTTCGGTTTTTTTTTTATTAAACCAAAACCAAACCAAATTTGACCGGTTTTTAAAATTCAAAACTAAAACCAAACCAAACCTAAAAAGTATCGGTTTTTTTGGTCGATTTGGTTCGATTTTTTAAATTTTTATGAATACCCCTGCTCATCGTATTAAAATCTCGGGTCCTCATCAGGTCATATATGTTGGTTACCACTTAACTATTCCACTGATTCTCAGTGCCCTCCACTTTTTGACACGACTTTCGACTTTAATACAATACCTAGAAGGTGGCCAGGTGTTACAAATTAATATAGAAAATAATCTAAGGATAAATATGAGAATTATTTCATCTCGTATTTTATTGAAATGTTTACCAATTAATAGTGTAAATATAGTTTTGATGATCTGATGGTGTAAAAAAATACATACACAACTTACAGTGTATATAAATTTAACTCTAACAAATAACCATAACATGACAAGGATTCTTATTTCTTACTATACACAAATGCCTTAAATGCCTAAAAATTTTCACCCTTAAATAAAAAATACAACCAAGTTTTTAACTACAACAAGAACAAAACCCATGTGCTAGTAATGACCTACAGTAATTAATTTTGTAACACATTTCTCATTTTGGAAGCCAATTCACCTAGTGCTTTTGTAGAGGAACCATTTTCACCAAGTACTTTGGCAGCTTCATCTTTTAAATCTCTCATTTTGCTGCGTACTCCTTTTCCTTCTTCACCTTCCATCAATCCTCTTACCACTTCAGCAATTTTCTCTCTTCCCACGACGCCATTCTCACTTGTTTTCGGCCTCAATGCCACTTTTAGATCCTCGTTTAGTATTATTGCATTCATTCTTTGTTCTGCATATAACAGCCAAGCAATAAGTGGAATGCCATGGACCACACTCTCTAATATCGAGTTCCATCCACAGTGAGTCAAGAACCCGCCTATCGAGCCATGGCTAAGGATTTGGGCTTGTGCGGCCCAATTAGGTATTATCAATCCTTGTCCTTTGGTCCTTTCCAAGAACCCTTGTGGTAAAAAATCAAAAGGGTTACTTGAAGTTTGGACATTGAAGTAAGTGGCATTAGCAATTCTATCATTTGGGCATCTAATAACCCATAAAAATCTTTGATCACTCATTTCTAATCCCATTGCAAGTTCAATTAGCTGCTCATGTGAGAGAGTCCCACCACTTCCAAAGGAGATGTACAAAACAGAGTTACATGGCTGCTCATCTAGCCATTTCAAACATTCTAACTCCTCAGGGTTACTGCTTACATCCATATGTATAAGCGGTCCAACTGCATAAACCGGTGGCTTATCTGCAGAGGCGATGTACCGTATAATTAGTCAATAGGTTCAACTGATCTTAGTGTATTTGAGAGGGAGCATAAGTATAGATTCCCTATGTTTTATTTTATGTAGCTAAATTCGGAATACGAGAGTCACCGTACGTTCATCTTTTATGTGAACTCGGATATATAATAAATACTTTAAATTTGTTGAAACAAATTTAAATGAGAATTACTTTAAAAGCGACGATTTAAGTCAAAAAAGTTAATAAATCAAGATATTTAAAAATATTAAAAATTCATGGTCAATGTGTCTAAATACTCCTTTCGTTTTAATGTATGTGAAGATATATAACTAGACAAGGTTTAAGGAAAAAATAAAGATTTTTTGAACTTGTAATTTAAAGCATGTCATAAAATTTGTATATTTGTGTGGGTATAAAAATATTTTATTAGAGGTAAAATGAAAAAGTTTAAATTATATTATTTTTAAATTTAGGAAAAGCTTATTTCTTTTTAGAAAGATTAAAAAAGAGTTACCATACGTTCAATTTTTTATGTAGACTCGGACATAGATAGTTTAAATTTGTTGAAATAAATTTAAATCAAAATTATTTAAAAGCATATATCTAAGTCAAAATAGTTAATAAATCAAGATATATAAAAATATGTAAAAGTCATGGTCAATGAAATATTCTCTAAATACTTCTTTTGTTTTAATGTATGTGAGGATATTTGATGGGCAAGAGAGTTTAAGAAAAACATAAAAGAATTTGAACTTACACATAAGTGGAAGTAAAGGAACTTAGAGAGTATATGCAAAATAAATCACCAAAAAATTAAGAAGTAACATTATTAAATTCTGAACTCATAATTCTAAAAGCATAATGAATTCTGTGTTAAAAATATAAATAACAATTACAACATATCCAATATAATTTCACTAGACTAGTATGTACGTAGATCATATCCCTATCATGTGAAGGTAGAGAGACTGTTTTTAATATACCCTCGGCTCAAGAAAAGCATAAGCACAATAGTTATGGGGAAGAAACGATGGTGTGGAAGCCATGAAAACGAAGCAGTAAAGATAACAAGATCATATGTTAAAAATATCAATCCATCAAATTAAACTCTAAATTATATATCTCTTCTTACCTGGTTCTTCCTCATGCAAAGCTTTAATGGCACCTGGTTCCAAGTCCTTAAAACTATTCACCACTATTCCCTCCGCCATTTTATACCTCTTAGTATGATGAAGCAGCCATTTGTAAGCATCATTCTTCCTATCCTGAACCGGGTCGAGAAGCTCCTTCGGTTCAATAGGAACACAACCCGGAATCCGAACCGGTTCTTTCAACTCTCTATATAAGAGAACCTTAATTTGATAGTATTTTATAGGGGTAAGATTGCGTACATTCAACCTTAATTTGATAGTACAAGAAAGTTAGTTTTATTTTAACATTAAAAATGATAATAATGATCATGCTTTTGGTTTCTATTTTGATTCACTAGTCGCTACATTAAGGTGTGAGGTTCATTTTATTTTGCTGAAGTAGACTATTATAATTCTTCAATTACCTAATAGCAATACCTGTTCAACCATTGTCACAAATTAAAGCATGTGCTTACAATCATAAGTGCATATTATACGTGAATGCGTTGCTTAGTTCTGATGTAATGATATGTGGTAGAGGTACATAATAACACAAAACATATTCTTATTAATATTAATAAAGTGTATGTAGTATTTTTTTTAAAGACTCAAAGGTGAGTCTTGCATTTCAACGTAGCGAACTGTTGCATATAGCTTTCTCTTGTATACCAATAATCTTTATATAGGTTCTTATTGTTATACATATAATCATGAATGGTGATATTTTATGGTCCCAATTTACTTTGATAGATTATGACATTGATTGAGAATAAGACATCATATTCAAGTCCTGGTGATTCATGATGATAAGAGTTGGGTTTGAGTCCCAATTCATTATAGCGCCTAACATGCCTTTATATTGGTAATGCATTGGGTTTGAGTCCTACTGTACCATATTGATGATATAATGATGAATAAAGAAAAATAATATATTTTTCATGAAAAGTCATGAAGATTGTCCCACTTTATCTGCTCCATTCTTGAAGTGAATGTGGTAGCGGCGCATAATAAGTCTAAATGAAGACAAGTGGTTGACCAATAAACGTGGGCGTTCCAATGATCAAAATAATAATAGTCATCACTATGATTATAAAAGGAAAATAATAAGGGTTCTCAAAATAGTCCTTCAAAATATGAAGGCAGTGTTTACCATCAAATTGGTATGAAAAATAATAAAGCACGCCGCTGATTATGATCCATTCCTTGAAGAGAATGTGACTTTTGATAAGTATTGAGAATGCAGACCCATTCCTAAAGGTGAATGTGGCAATATGTGATAAAAGTAATGAATAAAGACATGCAATGCATGATTGGATGAATACCACACAACTCACCTCTAAGGGAGGTTTGAGTGAAATAAAGAGAATAAATATTATTGTGTGGTTACTTGAATATGTCATTAGTCGCGTACATGTGATACACCAAAAATATTTTGGCATGCCTTATAAAAGTTATTAAAGGCAAAATTAAAGCAAGAAATGATATTGCTTATTATGATTTTGACCATGACAATTTATTATGATATGATTTTCTCCGTGAAGGAGACATTACCATATGGATGGTGTGACAAAAGATCGTATAGTAGAACATCAATTAAGAGCTCCGGAAGAACTAATTTATTACTATCCGGATGAATGAAATTGTTCATAATATTGATATTGTAGTAAGTCTCAAAAGAAACATTTTGAGTTTCAAATGTATTAGCCAAAGTGGTTGGACTATAAATGAAACGAAGAATGAATATCTTTATATTACTATAATCATACCGAGTAACTATGAAAGGCTACCCGAATTTTCTTCTATTTGTACTATATAAGTATAAGCATGATGATGCAATCACATGACACAAGTAAACTAGAGGTTTACTGAAATATATACTAGCTGGCATGACCGGTTGGCCATCCCGGTTCAATTATGATGGAAAAATCAATTTGAGAATTATATTGGCATATATTGAAGAAATATAAGATTTTTCAAGAATTCTCTTGTGTTGCTTATTCTCATGATATACCAGTTAAAGTATATGGGCCCAGTCACCTGTCATGTGGACCTTTTATTATTATATGATTTTAGTAGATGCATCTATTCTATGGTCACATGTGCATTTGTTCAACTTGCAGTTTGACTTTTGCAAGGTTACTTGCTCAAATTATTAGAGCAAAGTTCCAGAATATAAATTATGATGATTTATCTTGATAATACTGGTTTAAATCCAAGTCGGTTAGCAGAAATTGCATGCCTCCAATTATAGCTAAATCATTGGTTATAAGAACAAAACTCCCAAAACGAAATTTGGTATGAGATGTATTATTTAATATATAGCAGCACTTGTACGTATCTAGCTAGATTATAAAAAGTTCTCCCTATCACAATCAGTTTAGGGTCAGGAACAACTAATTTTTATCTAAAAATATGGATGTACTATGTGATTTAATTATGCCACCACAATGCACAAATATGGGTTTCCAAAGAAGGTTGGGAAATGTGTTGGTGAGCCCAATATTAGGAAGAGAAAAAGGGCAACTAAAAAATTGATACGTGGAATGAATTATTATGAATACATATAGATCCTTGTACAAGAAAATATGAACTTGAAGTTCAAGTGATAATTCATTTGCAAATTATTGTCAGACGCATTTGCTGACCCAAAGCTAAATATTATATTTCAGCTGCTAATGCTCTAAATAGAATAACATTCATGATGGACAGATTTTATGGCACGCATAATGCGTAATAGACTAATCGGTTCCAAAGATAAAACTCCTTGAAAAAGGAGAGGAGCAAATGTTCAAGATGGTCATAATAAGGAGGCAAGTGCCCTAGAAGAGCACCACGACATAACACTTCATAAGATCTCATGGGAGAGGCTCAGGTACCTGACAATAATGAGATAAAGAGATCTCAATAAGTTATGTCTTTATTGGGTAATAATAGAACCTATATAAAATGATCGTCGACGATGTTATTAATATAATATAGCGCTCAATATTATTAATATTGACGGGAATTTTGAGCTCAAATCTGTCATGGAATGTAGACAGATAAATAATTGGCCAAGATAAAAAAAATACAATCAAGATTGATTTCACCTGAAAAATGTGAAGTTAGACGGATAGTCCCAACACCTGAAATTATAAAGCCAGTGGAGGTATAAATGTGTTCTTGTGCGAAAAAAGTCAAGTCAACAGACAAAAAGACGACTTGTGTCGCAAGAAGATTTGTAAATATCCTGGCTCCATGAAACTGTATAGTGACTCTATTTTGTTGATAGCCATGTTTTCATCTTGTGATAAAGTAATTGAGCTAGCAATCATGCTAGATATCATGTTTAGGATTTATGCCGGTACTGTTGGGACCCCTAGTGGTCGTTTCTTGCTGTCATCTCACTGATTTCATTGATATTATGTACTCAGTCATGTTCATGCATTGCATATCATATCTCTATCTCAGTTGTTATTTATTGATACATCATATCATTATTTCGGGCTAGTTTTCATAATATTGTGAGCCCGTGAGTGAGACTGGAGAGATTGATGACTGAGTGAGGCTGAGAGCCTGATTATGAGTGACAGTTATGGGATCGGGCAGCATGCCACATCGGTTATACTGATTTTATGATAACGCTTGGGCTGTAGGAGCCCCTCCGGAGTCTGTACACACCCCCAGTGAGCGCGGTTGATATTATTGAGGGGTGGATCTTCCCTAGCTATGGATCTTGTCCGAAGTACTTTGAAAGTATGCCTTCGTTTCTTTTCAGTTATTTCTATTTTATCTGTACCGGTTGAGTTCGTCACTACCTTTCAGTCCAAAGTTTGGACTTGTTACTTACTCAGTTGAATGTACTCACGTTACTCCCTGCACCTCGTGTGCAGATCCATGCATTTTTGGTCACAACGGCGATTACTGATTGCGGCTTCAGAGTTCGAAGACTACCAAGGTAGCTGCACGGCGTTCGCAGGCCTTGACTCTCCTTCTTTATCATTAGTTGTATTTTTCAGTTTATTTCTCTAGGCACTGTAGTGGACTGTATTCTGATTTAAACGCTCATGTACTCTGTGACACCCCGGTTTGGGATGGATTGTATCGTATTTTGGATATTTCTATTTTCAAAAATGCTTTTCCTAAATTATTAAATTGCTTCCGTCTTTATGTTCAAAGATTTTTATGTGTTGAGATGTTGAGTTATGGCTTGCCTAGTTCCACAATAGGCGTCATCGCGACGGTTAGATTTGGGGTCGTGACACAGAACCATCAAAATTCCAATCCGAGGTCAAATGCTAAAAAGTCAAACTTGATCAACTTTTTCAAATTTAAAGCTCCCTAGTTGAGAATCATTCTTCCAAATCAGTCGTGAATAACCTGAAAACCAAAATCGACGATTCACACAAATCAAAATATATTATACGGAGCTACTAACGCCCGTAAACTACCGAGCGAAGTGCAAATGTTCAAAACGACCGGTTGGGTCATTACATTCAATATGTATTCTTATGTTTTTTTAATTACTATTAAATATGTATTCATATGTATTTTTTATTAATAGCAATTAAGTTTTTCCCATATATGTTCAGCAATAAATTTGTATTACAAGTCATGTATTCACTTTATGCACTATTTTCACTGTGCTATTTTTTTCTATGTTTTTTTTAATTATTATTAGATATGTATTCACTTTATTTTTATTGTATTCAATATATCTCGTTGTATTCCATGTATTTCATTGTATTCAATGTCTTTAGTTTTTTCTACTTCTTTAATATGCTCACTGTATTTAACTGTATTCAATGTAATTATATAATTTCAAAGCTTCACTTTGTTTTACTGTTTTGTCCAGAAGTATATATTCAGCAGTATGTATTCAATGTATTGTAGAATGTATTCATATATTTTTTAATTAATATAATTTATGTATTCATATGTATATATGTATTCAAATATATCCGCAGTATGTATTCATATATTTTGCACTATAGATGACCTGTTATACTTCATATCTATATATAAATCTATTTGTAAAGATACCACTAAAAAATATTTTAGTAATCTGAACTAAAACAATTCATCACGTAAGAATCCAATACATCAATAAATCAATATGTAATATAAAACTTGAAGAAATCTATGACATATCGTTATTGTAATAATTGAAATCAGAACATGAACTAATTCCTATGTGGAGTATTTCTACAAGTACGCTTATTATGTCCTCCCTGCCCACATATAGTACACGAATGTTGATTTTTCTTCTGCAACAATTCACTGAACGGCTTATTGCGCTTCTTCTTTGGCCTTAAGGAGGTCTTTTCCATTTGAGTGGTAAGACTTCCTCTAATATATGTGCTGGTATATTCCATTCATTTCGGTCAGACAGCGGATACACGGGCACCTCGTATGTCATTACAACAGGCTTTGATTTGTAATAGTCCGAGCAATAATCTTCTGGCATTAGA